TTTGGGAAAAACTTTAGGGGTCATCATTGATCTTACTATATTTTGAATACAAAAACTACACTTCAAACAAATTAAACATAATAAACCCAAAATTTGAACACAAAATTTAGAACAATCGAAATGAAAAGAATATGAACAAAAATATACCTTAATTTAGCATCATGTTGGGATCCAGGGGTCACCTTAGAAGAATCATGATTCGAATTGTTCGCCATCATCACCGTTGGAAGTTGGAACTCCCCTCTGGATGCATCGTAGCTCAGTGGACTCCCACTCATCGAATATTCCCTTGTTCTTGTGCTGCAGCTGAGGGCATAACCGGAATAAAAACCATAAACCACCCGGCTGTTCCCGGTTACCCCCGGAATAAAGCCGTACATCACCGGCTGTTCCCGGTTGCCACCACCTCCCTTGTGCTGTCCAGCCTGGAAATATCCGCTCGAAGCCATGGGTGCTTGGTACACTAGCGGCGCTGGGTAAACGTAACTGCCAGGTGTCACCGTACTGTTAAAACGGAAATTGTGCCGGAATTTCATGAATCGGCACCGGAACGCCGTTACTTAGACCGACATTCTCCGGAGGTGACACAACTGTATCCGTATCTTCAGAATTTTTCACACGGCGCTGAATAATTAAGCGAATATTCCTTATCGAAACCGAACAAAAAATCCGGATTCACACTGATCTCGCTGTGACCGGCGTCGGCGGCGCAACCGCGAAAAAAACGAACAGACGTAGCCGAGGCGGTGTAGGCGACATGCGACGGAGGAGATTCATACTCGAACATCATATTATCCACGTCTTCATCATCAAAAATGGAAACCAAAGCGTCGAGATCTTGTCCAGGCAACTTATACTTCAATCGAATTTCGGAATTGTACTCGCAAAGAGCGTTCAATTTGGAGAGCAAGGTGGAGAAATTAATGTTGCGATCGACTGTGAGGATCTTGGTGTCGCCGCCGATGTACGACAGTTGCCGGTCGTGAGGACGGTGGTGGATTTTGCCTCCATAACTGCACATCAATTTCACTTCTTCTCCATTGAAGAAGAAGAGGAGAAAGGTTTTCGGTTTCGAGTGGTAGGGTTTGTTTATGCATGCTATAACGAAATGTCAGTGTCAATGAACTTGTGTGATCGTGACCGTCCATTCTGATCTGTAAATGTAACGTAACAACGTGGGTGGGGTCCACACGGGGTGGAATGATGTGGGGCCATGGCCCCAAAAGACTGATCTGGCATGGCATGCTCATCAATTTGACCAATTTGACTTTTTCAATATGGTATTTTTTTTTCTACGTTTGATTTTACTTTTTTGGGACTTGTTATTAGTTTTTGAAGTGTAGATTGGGTTTAAGAAGTCTCACAACAAAATTGTTACTAAATTATTAAAAAGTATAATTTTATTTCTAAATAAAAGATTCACAATATAAAATAGTTTATTAGTAGTAACTAGTAAATTAATGTCAGTGTAGTTCATGGGAATTGTCGTACATAGTGAAGCAACATATCTTAGCATAAAAGTGAAAATACAATTAAATTATATCACGTTTTTATGGATGTACTTTTTACAACGACTAACATATATTTTTTCATATTAGTTTTAAAGTTATATTTTAATTCCATATTTGTCTATCATGTACATTGTTAGAACACCTGCACTGTTTGGCCCAAGATGATCATCGTTTCATTTAATTCTGATTTAATTGCACCGGGTTGTTTATTTTTTTTTATTTTTTTTGGGGGGAACGGATGCAATTTATAATTAGCAAGAAGGTATAAAAAACAATTATAAAGTAACAGTTAGGATAGGGCATTGTAATCAAACAATCTAACCACTTAATTTTAGTTTGTAAAATGTATGCACAAACCGAGGAAACGGATAAGATACTATTAAAAAAAATACTATCTTTATGAGTCTTTTAGAATGAAAGACTAGATTAGTCTTTGCTATTGTTGTCTCTGATTTATATTCTAAGATTCTTTTTCTTGCATCAACAATTGTTATGTTGATCGTTCATAGCCTGATTGCGGGCTTCGCGAAAGAATCGTGTGGTTCGGTGAAGGGTTCCTGTTGGGGTGATTAAGGTGTTTTGATACATTCAAATGCTCCACAATGTCCTGTACAAAATAGCTTCAAACCCCACTCTTTTGGCACTAAACAAGGATAATAAGTCTACCCATGACATCACATTTATTATTGTAACCTTATTCAGAATAAGGATATCTCACTAACGATCGATCCTCATTAAGGTTTGGGTTGCGCCACCACCTGACATGTGCTAAATGCATGATCAACTGTATATGGGCAGTCCTCACAAACTAAACACAATAAGGAGGAGAGATCCCTAGCAGAATGCATTCTTGCAATCTGTTGTTTGTAGGAAGTGTGATGTGCTTAGGAGATGAACGCCACACATCACATTCAAGGTCAAAGTTAACGGCGGCGCAACCAAAATGCGTGACATATCCTTAGTCTGGGCGTGACATGCCCCCGTACTATACCTGCTGTGTATGTTCTTTTAAGTAAGTTTATTTTTGGATGTTGGATTTCTGGTGGCCACGGCTTGGTGACGGAGTCCCACAGCGTGGCCAAGGCCAAAGTTTTGTGGGCTTTAAGCTAGAGCCACGGTGTGGCCGCTGTTTAGTGGCAAAACCTAATTCGGGGATTGAGCCCCTATTTAAGGGATTGTGATGGCTACGGTTGCCCACCCTCATCTCAATCACTCTGTGACATTCCCATTTTCACGGCCAGAAAAGACCGATTTGTTTATGATTTGTTTTATAAAATCAGAGTAGTCCTTTGGTTAAAAGAGTTGCGGAATTTGTTCCCAAACAAAATATGATAAGAATTTATCAAAGCATTTCTTTAAAGAAATGTATTTTCATTAAATAACAAAATCTCGGGATGTCATGTTCCGTTACAGACCAAAAGCATAAACAGTATAAAATAGACCTTACAATAGTTATTTATAACTACTGATCTATAATCCAAAATCTCTCGTCAAGTCCACCAACTTATACTCTTGTGTCATTACCTGTAATGCAAAGAAAACTGAGTGGGTCAGGCTTGGGAGCCTGGTGAGCATATAGGGTTTTCGACCCACAATAATATAATTATTATATTCAATCATCATCAATCAATCAATCCAAATTACTCATTCCCATTATCTCCTTTATTCTTAAGGATTTACCCTAAGAATCAACTATCCTTTATCCATTTATTCCTAAGGATTGACCTAAGGAATTGACACAAAGTCCACCACTGCCAAGGTCCTCAAATTACAACCGGTAAACACTTAGTTCAACATACTTAACGAACACCTAGTTCTAACACTCCTAGTGAACACTTAATTCAAAACATCTGGTGAATACTTAGTTCTAAAACACTTAGTGAACACACTCAGTTCAACAACACCAAGTGAACACATCTAGTTTAAAAATACTTAATGAACACATTGAGTTCAAAAATACCAAGTGAACACATAGAGTTCAAAAATACCTAATGAACACGTTGAGTTCAAACACCAAGTGAACACATAGAGTTCAAAAATACCTAACGAACACATAGAGTTCAAAAACACCAAGTGAACACATTGAGTTCAAAAAACACCTAATGAACACGTTGAGTTCAAAAATACTTATTATTTCGTCTCACATCAACTATTTCATCTACCCATGTTCTACCCAACATATTTGCAGATGCAAACAAATATACAGTTTAAATCTTTTAAAACCTGTATAAAACATTAATTCAACATCCATCTCAATTAACAAACAACGTATAAACACATAACACGTATTTCATAGCAAATACTTCATATCTATGTGGTAGAAGAAAGTAACTACACACTCACATGATAAGACGATGATCGGACAGCACCTCGTCTCTTAAAATAATCTTTTCCGATGAAACCGGGACGTTTTCTCCAAAAACCGAGCTTCACCGGGCAGAGTTTGGCTCGAAAACTATTTTTCTCGAGATCTTCGGGGCTTCAGGACTTACTTCGGGTGTCGGGATTGATACCGGGGCTTCGGGGGTATAAATTGCCAAGAAGAAGAAAGAAAAAAAAGGGGAGAGAAGTGAAAATTAGCAAACAAGATCGGCAGCCATCGTCTTCTATTTATAGGCTGCTGGTCATCGGGTTACGTTGGGTGTAACTTCCATGTACGCGGGGCGTAATGCCTCTTTCATGCGTACGCTGGGCGTACGAAGATCTACGCTGGGCGTAGTTCGGATGAGGCTGCCAGGTGGCGAAGTCTCGATGGGGCTACGTGGCCGTCTCTCGGACCACACAAGACCGGGGTACGCTGGGCGTACCGGGTTGATAGGATCGGACGTGTCATGGCTTCAGATATTATCCGAATTTATAATTTTATAAATTTTTTTAATTATTTAAAAACTTCAGAAATTCATATATTCCTCATACGAGCTCCGTTTTTGACGTTCTTTATATACACGCGTAGGTGAGACTATGCTCTACAACTTTCGTTTAGACTCCGTCGGCTAATTTTGACTTTATTTTTATTTTATTATTTTTAGTAGGCCGGGACAGGAAAACTCCGTTAGAAATTCATAACTTCTTCATCTGACGTCCGTTTTTGTTTGTCTTTTCACCATTGGACTACTATCGACGAGATCTTCGATTCTCGTTTAGATTGTTTCGGCCAAATATCACTCGATCTCAATTTCGAGATTTGGGCTGTATACCGCTAAGTCGAAACTTAGAAAAATCGCAACTTCTTCATACGAAGTCAGATTTGGACGTTCTTTTCATGCACGCTCTCGGTTAACGTATTCTACGACTTTTATTTAGATCGCTAAGGCTAAATATCGCTCTAACGTAAATTCACTTTTTACGTCGCGCTGTGTCGTGCCGGTTCTGTCGCGAAACTTCGACATGTCATAACTTCTTCGTTATAACTTGGATTTCGGCATTCTTTATATATCTGGAATCCTTGTCACGACCACTACAACCTAGTTAAGATTATTCATTCTAAATAATTTTTTTATCAAAAAGTCACTTTGATGCTTATCTTCTCTAAATTGACTAGCCCAGATCTACGGGCGTTACACACTCTCCCTCAGCCTCCAAGTGAAAAGTGAAAACCCTAGCCTCTATTGCTAACCTTTGAGCTTTTGGGTGTTCCAGTGTTGTTTTGAAGAAGAAGAAGAAGAATGCACCCTTGAGCTTTGTTTCAGCAAGAAACTCTCCTCATCTACCTTGAGCATGTTTCTGGACTCTTTTAAGTCCCCAAGATCCAATCTTTATGTTATTTATCTCTAGATCTATCCATTTTGTCCCAAAATCTTCATGGTGTGAGGAACTGGAAGGTTGGATCTCATAAAGTTGGCAACTTTATGGATCCATGTGGTTATTTTAGTGCCATGTGTTCCAGATCTGAGAATCTATGGAGTTTTTGGTCCCATGCTCAAGATTGAGTTCCTTATTGCCTTGTTTTTTTTTTTACCTAAAATAGAAGGGACATGCATTGGACATGCATGTCCATAAAGATACTTCATTTATGGATTATTAGGTGTAAGAAACCATTCTGGAAACCTTGGATGGACAACTCTAGAGATTGGGTGCTTAATGGGTGACTTTATGCATTTAGTCACCTTTAAGGAATGAAGGTTTGAGATCTTGACTTGTTAGGGTGTATTAATGGATAAAGTTGGAAACTTTATCCATCAAGACCATGGGAAGGACCAAATCTGAGCTTTAGAGCTCTTGAAGTTGTAGGAAAATGGCTTAATGGATTAAGTTGTTTAGACCAGTCCCCACAACGTGGCCTTAGGTTGCCACGGTGTGGCGACTAGGTAGGAATCTGTTTGCTTTGTCGTTTAGCGGTCATGACGTGGTGACCAGCTGGAGGTTGATCTTTGACTTTTGACCGTTGACTTTGACCAAGTTTAACTTTAGGTCATTGGGATATTTGAGTAGTAGGTGAGGCTTGGTCTCTGTGTGTTATACAGTTGACTCGTCGAGCCAGTGGTTGGAGCAATGATCAATTCAACTATCG